TCTAACATCTAATTTAAGCAGTATATTCCTTTAAACAAACTATAATTTGTAGCATTGCAAAGCAGTTCTTAGGCTCCAACTGACTAGTTGATCACAGAAATATAGGGCCCAAAAAAGACCTCTATGTTCAAGGATGTCTGCCTAAGGGCAAGCTTTACCGCTTACAGAAAATGTTCCATCTTTGCAGGTTATAACAACCCAGAATTGTTGTGCAGTGGTGAATTTCAGCTGCTACAGGCATGTGTCTCTTCACTTAATGGTAATTATAACTTTGTTGTGAGTCCCTTTATTATCTATTTAGTATGCATTTAAGTATCCACATACAGTATATAGTGTTTAGATCGTTACAGGCTGCTACAAGTAAGTGTAGGAATCTCTAGGTGCCTGCATTTAATATTAAATTACACCCATATTGTGACAGAGTCTCTTTAACTCCTTCCCACTGACCATACGCAAATCAGCGCCCCCACTGGACTGGGCTTTTTGCCATGGGGCCGCTAATTTGCGTACCTGTCTTTGTGCTGGGATGCACATGGCCCAATACCAGCACAGAGACCAGGTTCTCATTGAGAGTCCTGGGTCCAGTTTTAACAATCAGGACCCAGGTCACCTAATCGCTGTGATAGCTTCTGATTGGCTATCACAGTGATCAGTCACTATGAAGCCCGCTTCTGTGTTTCCTCTCTCTAAATGGAGGAGATAGGTACATTGTATCTCTCTCTGTCCTTTCAGAGAGGAAAAAAAAACAAGTGTGTTTACAAATGAATAAAGATACTAATAAAAAACTAAAATAAAAAAATACCTAGATCAAGGTTTGATCTAGGTTAGAGCCAGGGTTAGGGCAAAGGTCAGGGTCAAAGGTCAGGGTCAAGGGTCAGTATTTTTTTTGGGGGGATCAGGATTTTATTTTGGGTTGTTATTTGGTGGTAGGTTATGATGGTAGCAAGAAATATACTGCTAAAAATTTTTTTTTACTATTTTGGGCAGTTTTCCTTTGCTAATAAAAAAACATCAGGGGATAGCTATTACCATTTACCACCAAATGAAAGTCCAATTTGTCCAAAAAACAAGGTATAATTCACCTGGATGTACAAAGTTGTTGTGATGATTGTCACGATCGCAAGATCGCCGCTACCAACATACGACAATCCCACGATCGCGACGTCCAATATGTCACGATCGTGGCATCAGACCCCAGACCTTCTCACCAAACTCGTGACCAAAGGACTAGCCAATCTAAAACCGCGATGTGACATGCGTAACAATGACACACCCAGCTGCTCCCTGCACAATGATTTTCCAGCGAATGGACAACAGATCGAGGTGCTGTCAGCCTGAGCGATTGTTACTGGGTCAGGTTAATTACGCAATTAACCCTTCGCACTGCCACCACCTCCTTTTTGTCAGAGAAAGAGGAAACTCGGCGTTCTCAGCTAAAACACTATAATGATTGAGATAATCATCTGTATAAAACGGTCATAACACAGGCCTGTTATACAGAGGGTTAAACAAACAGTAGCATTCTTGTTAGAGGCAGGGATTCGATAATTGCAATACAGAGCTATAGAAACAGTTCAACACTTTCAGAAAGAAACATTTATTACTAAAAGGTCAAACGAGTGCAATAAAAATATTTACAGAAACAAGATGGAACTAAGATATACAGTGAAGAATAGAAGTATTTGTACACCCTGCGATTTTGCAAGTTCTTCCACTTAGAAATCATGGAGGGGTCTGAAATTCACATTGTAGGTGCATTCCCACTCTTAGAGACAGAATTTGTTTTAAAAATTCAGGAAATCACATTGTATGATTTTTAAAGGATTTATTTGTCTTGCACTACTGAACATAAGTATTTGAACACCTAAGAAACCGCAAGAATTATGGCTCTCAAAGACCTGTTACTGTGCCTTCAAAAAGTCCACCTCTACTCCACTCAATAATCTAACTTAGTAGCACCTGTCTGAGCTCTTTAAAGACACCTGTCCACCCCACAGTCAGTCAGACGCCAACTACTACCATGGGCAAGACCAAAGAGCCGTCAAAAGACACCAGAGACAAAATTGTGGACATCCACAAGGCTGGAAAGGGCTACGCGGAAATTGCCAAGCAGCTTGGTGAAAATAGATCAACTATTGGAGCAATTGTTAGAAAATGGAAGAGGCTAAAGATGACTGTCAGTCTCCCTCAGACTGGCGCTCCATGAAAGATCTCACCTCGTTTGGGGTATCACTGATGATAAGAAAGGTGAGGAATCAGCCCAGAACTACAAGGGAGGAGCTGGTCAATGACATGAAGAGAGCTGGGACCACAGTTTCAAAGGTCACTGTCGGTAGAACACTATGCCGTCATGGTTTCAAATCATGCATTGCATGGAAGGTTCCCCTGCTCAAGTCATCACATGTCCAGGCCCGTCTGAAGTTTGCCAATGACCATCTGGATGATCCAGAGGAGGCATGGAAGAAAGTCATGTGGTCAGATGAGACCAAAGTAGAACTTTTTGGTCTAAACTTCACTCGTCGTGTTTGGAGGAAAAAGAAGGATGAGTTGCATCCCAAGAACACCATCCCTACTGTGAAGCATGGGGGAGGTAACATCATGCTTTGGTGGTGCTTTTCTGCAAAGGGGACAGGACGGCTGCACTGTATTAAGGAGAGGATGAATGGGGCCATTTATTGTGAGATTTTGAGCAACAACCTCCTTCCCTCAGTCAGAGCATTGAAGATGGGTCGTGGCTGGGTCTTCCAACATGACAACAACCCGAAGCACACAGCCAGGATAACCAAGGAGTGGCTCCGTAAGAAGCATATCAAGGTTCTGGAGTGGCCTAGCCAGTCTCCAGACCTAAATCCAATAGAACATCTTTGGAGGGAGCTGAAACTCCGTGTTGCTCAGCGACAGCCCCGAAACCTGAAAGATCTAGAGGAGATCTGTGTGGAGGAGTGGGCCAAAATCCCCGTTGCAGTGTGTTCAAACCTGGTCAAGAACTACAGGAAACGTTTGACCTCTGTAATTGCAAACAAAGGCTTCTGTACCAAATATTAACACTGATTTCTCAGGTGTTCAAATACTTATGTTCAGCAGTGCAAGACAAATATATTCTTTAAAAATCATACAATCTGATTTCCTGAATTTTTTTTTAATTCTGTCTCTCAGAGTGGGAATGCACCTACAATGTGAATTTCAGACCCCTCCATAATTTCTAAGTGGGAGAACTTGCAAAATCTCAAGGTGTTCATATACTTCTGTTCCTCACTGTATATATACATATACAAAGAACCATAGCACAGCAAAGAGATATCAGAGAGAGGTGAAAGGGTTAAGGTACTTGCCAAAGTCCTGGGTTAGCAGATCCAAGTTTCAGAGCAAGAGGGCACTTGTCTCCCCAGGTGGTATTGATGTTATAAATGGGAGACGTCTTCAACTCAACTCTTAGGCCTGACAGCCTGTTTTAAAGTCCCCAGCAGCGGGTGTCTCTGATGCCACGGACCAATACCTCGTGTAGGCGTGGAGGTCTGGGTGTCGACCTAAACTAGAGCCAAAATCTTGTGTAGTTCATATTTGGGCTTATAACTTTTCCTATGCACAAGTGACATCCCACCCGCGGGTAGATTATTAAGGAGACAAGTTTGAGGATTCATTATATATGAGTTATGAAAGTATAGGCTAAATGGTTCCTGAGATCTATTTTTCTGCTTTCCTGTCTATGCGAGACAAGTCAAGTGACCCATCAAACTGTTCGGCTCCTCCTAGCCAATCTGATGGTATGTCTGGTTTTTATGTAAGTCTCTCATGTTCCAAGATATGAGACATAAGGGAGAAATGGATTTGAGAAGTGTTTATCTGATTCTATCACCTATGCTTAGCTAGGTTTATTAGCTCGGAATCTCTTTCAACTTCTGGAAAAGTTTGCCTTATCTCCTCCGAGGTGTGAGATGGCACAGGGTCTTGGGACACTGCGGCACCACGTGGCTCCCTGCTGGGATCTGGCCTGTGACACTTTTAACACACACACATCTGTCACTGTGCCTCTCAGGAAGGGAGGGGGGAAGGAGAATAAGGGAGAAATGGATACTCGTAACAAAATGGCAGACTGCGTCAGTCTCTGGTGCGCACGTTTGTGACAATGATATTGTCAAGGAGTGCCCATGCTTCCCCCACCCCCCTTTGCCTGCTGTGACTCAGCCATATCCCTCCACCCCTCCCTCCCCCCTTGCACATTCCTCTGTCCTTGTAAGTTTCCATGAATGGTGCTGGGCCGGCCATTGCCGAGGCAACCCGGCAGCGTCGTACATGGTTTTTAAATAGACTGGCACAGGAAGCAGTTTCTCTCTTTGTTCCTGTCCAAGCTGCTGGAATCGTCTTGCTCCCGGAAAGACGCTGGGAGGCTCGGGTGGGGGGGACCAAGCCTCCGCAGCCATCCCCGCTGCGCACTCTGCAGACCCCCAAAAAGGTCAGGACTGTAGCCCTCTGCAATACACCAAGGGTTGGGAGTACCTGCTGCCCTCCGCTGAATGTCCCAGAGTGGGAATCTCCGCAGCTCTGCATGAGCCCCTCCGCAAGGGTCAGACTCCACAGCTCAGACCCTGCCAGACCCTGCCAGCCTGTAAGCCTGTCTACTGAGCACCCCTGCACCCTATCCACTGCTGAGAGCTGCTGCTGAGGGACCCCGCACGTTGTCCGTGGCTGCGCATTTCTGGAAGCTGTCTGCTGATCGCTGGTCGTCCCTGAAATGCTGACCGCTGGTCGTCCCTGTCTGGAGCCGCCTGGTGCTGAGGGTCTGCAAGCCACTTACCGTGAGTGTCCTGAACTGTCCCTGTTGTGTGCACAGACTACCCATGTCCTGAACTGTCCCTGTTGTGTGCACAGACCCCCCGTGTCCTGAACTGTCCCTGTTGTGCACACCAACCACCTGTGTTTTGAACTGTCCCTGTTGTGTGCACCGACCACCCGTGTTCTGAACTGTCCCTGCTGTGCACACCGACCACCAGTGTTTTGAACTGTCCCTGCTGTGTGCACCGACCACCCGTGTTCTGAACTGTCCCTGCTGTGCACCGACCACCCGTGTTTTGAACTGTCCCTGCTGTGTGCACCGACCACCCATGTTTTGAACTGTCCCTGCTGTGTGCACAGACTACCCGTGTTTTGAACTGTCCCTGCTGTGTGCACTGACTACCCATGTCCTGAGCTGTCCCTGTTGTGCGCACAGACCACCCGGGTCATGAACTGCCCTACTACATGCCTAGACTACCCTTACTTGAACCGCCCCATGGCGTGCCCGGAGTATAGCTACCTGTGATGCCCCTGAGTGCTTGAGCCATCGCTACCCGTTGAGTACCCATGAACCAGATGTCCCTAGGAAGCTGGGTGGGAGCTGTACTGAGGCCAGACTCCACAGCTAAAGTCCCGTTGAGTCCCCGTGAACCCGATATCCCTAGAAAGCTGGGTGGGAGCTGTGCTAGGCCAGTCTCCACAGCTAGAGTCCCGTTGAGTCCCCGAGACCCCTGCCCAGGGGTAGGTTGCCTGCCTATTGCCTGAGTCTCCAATCTGCTCTGCAGTCACGGAGGGAGCTCAGCTGAGGCGGGACCGTCATGACCAGGCTCTGCCTGGGACCCCCCAAGCCTAGGGGGGAGATTGCCTGCCTGTTGCCTGAGACCGGAATCGTCCCTAGTTTGTGCACACATCACCCTCCCTGCCATTTCCCCATTGAGTGTCTGTCATTTTGTTGTTTCAATAAAGCTTTGTGGGTTACCCATCTTCTCTGTGTGTTCTGTCCTGCCTATGCTTCCGTGACAGATATGTACGGTTTTGCTAATACTTATCAAAGTTGAAAGATTGTGCTTAGGCATTAAGATTTGTTTTACCCTTAGGCACGAACGGGTTAATTTCTATTTTTCTACACTAAATAGGAAGCCCAGTGCATTTAAGTATCCAGATACAGTATATGTTGGAGATACCATTGAGGAACACTTTCATATAGGGGTAATTCTGTGATGGGCAAAGTTGCTCGACTTTGGAGAGAAAATTATCTTTTTCCACGTTAACTATTGTCTTTATTTTTCTCTGGTACCCATTTAGTCTGAATGCAGACAAGCATGTATAATATAATGTCAAAAGTATAATTTAATGTCCAAAATTCTTTCTATCATTCATCATTAATTGCTTAGAAAAAAATTCAGTCCAAATTTATCTCAGCCTACCTTATATGTTGGGATATAGGAATATCAAGTTTATAGCATTATTTTCTTCTGTCACTTTGTTGTGAGTCTAAAGATTTCTATGTATTTAGAAAGTACAGTCATAACAAACGTTACCACATGTAGCAGTTGATCCTCTGTAACTTATAACTATTACCTATTAAAAAGTAAAACTAGAGCATTGTTCTCATTAACATGTAGAATGTAGAGAGAGAAAGCAGTGAAGTTGGAGCTGGTCTATCATATTGTCAGCATGAAACCCATGAGAACTATTTATATTACTGTGCAAATAATTTACAAAGATGTGGCAGTGTTTGGAAAGATAACATTCTTTAGGTTATCATTCACTGTCCTGTCTTTTATTGTAAATAAAATATAAAATTAACACACTTAAAAGATACAACAATTAATGGATACAATAATTAATGTCCAGTGCAGTTCTTGCAAAGAATAGGCTACTTAATTGAAATACTGGTTTATTTTTTGTTTCGGGAATAAGCCTAAGATTTACTTAGTCAGCACAAGGCATGCAATTGAAATATTTGTAGGAAATAACACTGAGGATCATTATGCATAGAATAACATTAAAGTTCTCCAAGGGTTTTGCCTGAAAAATGTAATACTCAACACACAGACAGTGAAACATATTTTTAATTTATATTTCAACTTCAAAAATAGAAATGTACTTTCCTAAAAGGCATCCTGTGAAGATAGAAATATCACAATTACCATTGCTGTCTTTTAAAGGTGCAGCTACTGAACTTTTGAACTTGTGAATTAGGATCACTTCATTCAGATGTGCTTATGGTGACACAATATTCAAATACTAATCTAGTGATAATTACTTATAATGGATAATACTAAAAAACCACACAAAAAACACACAAAATGTAAATGTGTAACAGTGATTAGTGAAAAAATGCAATCTTAAAAAGGTGTCCACAATCTTCAGTGAATTAAAAAAAAATAACAAAAGGAAAATCAGTAATTGTAACATTTCGTCTTGATAATTTATCACAGTGAAAATACACTTCCAAAAACCATGTAACCTCGGTTCTCCAAGACCAAAAAAGACACTACTGTGTAACATTCACCTTCCATCCAGTATGGGTAAGAATAACTCACTAGAAATATACAACTATAAGCATAATCTTTAATGACTTTTCCTTTCCCAAGCCAATCTCTTAATTTTTTAAATATTAAAACCAGCGCTATTAAAAGATCTCTACCAGCAGCTGCATAAAATCGAAATGATTTGATCTAAAACTAGGTATATTTCAGTGCAGCACTGAACGAATCTTCCAGTGCTGTTCGCGCAGGTTGAAAAAAAAGCACACAGGGGGTGCAAACACCTAGCGCATTTCCCAAGATTTATTGAGAGAAATGTAAAAAGCCAGTTTCATACTCACAAATGGCAGAAGAAATATTGCATGTATAACAACTGATGATCAACCAACCTGGTGGTAGTTCCCAACCATTGGTGATGTCTGCACGCTGATGCATTTTGGGGACATGTCCCTTTCCTCAGAGCTGTCCCCAGCTCCAAGTATAAGCACTCAATAATGTTACTGCTCCCTGATGATGCCGATGAGATGAAGCATGTTGGGGCATAGCTAAAGGGGTGTCTTCTACAAGGTAACAGCTCACATCAGTTTATGCGTTGGAGCCAAGACTGACAGTGACTGAGCACTTATACTTGGTGCTGGGGGACAGCACTGCAAGATGTGAGTGTAGTGTATTGTTTTTAGCTGGTTTTTAATAAAGTGAGTGACTGATTTGCACTATGAAAGTTTCATGTTCTTTCTCCTAATCCCATTATCCTGGGGAGAGTGAGAGAAAGGTATGCACTGGCTACGAAAACTGAGTTGCAGGATCACTGGGAGAAGTAAAGAGATAGAAGAAAGATCCTGATGGTTCCTGATGGAAGTGAAAGAGCGGTAATATAATATAATTGATGCACTTTAATTGGATGGCTTGCACAGTGTAAAAGGTCCATATAAATAAAGGAATTTGTGTCAGAAGTACTCAATTCATATGAAGCTACTGTCATTTCTTCCAAAGATAAAATAATACAAATATATGTAGCCCATTAATTTGTCTTCTGGGGATATTTGAAAATGATATTATGGATAATGCTACAAAAACTTTTTTGAGACTACTGTCTTTTTATGTACATAAATTGATTGTGTTACATTGGATACGAACAGATGTTCTTTGCTTGGCAGTCTGGAAAAAACTGGTCAATTTTAATGTCCCTTAATATGAGATGACCTATGAGGCTAAATGGTGTCCAAAAAAAATGTATGCAAATATGGTCCAGATGGGTAGAGCCATCACACATGGTATAGAAATGCCCTTGAGGGGTAGAATTAGTATAAGGTATATACTTTAATATGACCACTGTCTGTCTACTATATAAATTTGCTCCTTTGGTGCACTGGTTGACAGTAAAGCCGCTAATGCTAGTTAACTGACATGAAGCGGGATGGGGGGGGGGGGTAGCTGTTTACTCTGAAATGTTTTGTTTTTTCTATTTAGGTTTTTTCCTCTTTGTATGTTGATGGGATTTTTTCAGATGGCTAAGTATAGCCTTTTTCCGTTTTGTTATATAACAAAACAAGGGAAAAAAATCTAAACAAAAAAGAGAGAAAATGCTAAATGTACTTATGCTGACCTTTATTACTATATATAGAAATGTATGTATATATGAAGTGGTTGCTGATTCTCTGGGAACCTAGTTAAGCTGCATTATGGCATATTATATTGTAATTGGATATTAATTGCAGATGTAACTTTGACTTGTGATTCATATATTATGCAACATGTCTTATGTATTTCTATACTGTACAATCTGTGCATATGGAAATAAAACCTCTTAAAAAAAAAAAGGAAAGTGTATATATACTATATTACCAAAGTATTGGGACACCCCTCCAAATCATTAGATTCAGATGTTCCAATCACCTCCTTGGTCAGAGGTGTATAAAATCAAGCACCTTGGCATGCAGACTGCTTCTACAAACATTTGTGAAAAGTGTGAAGCGTGGTACCATGATCGGTTGGCACATGTGCAATACCTGTAAGTCCATCTGTGAAATTTCCTTGTTATTAAATATTCCATGGTCATCTGTTAGTAGTATTATGACAAAGTGGAAGCAACTGGGTACAACAGCAACTCAGTCACGAAGTGGTAGGCCACATAAAATTACAGAGCAGGGTTAGCGCATGCTGAAGGGTACAGTGCACAGAAGTTACCAACTGTCTGCAATAGCTAAAGACCTCCAAACTTCATGTGACCTTCAGATTAGCACAACAACAGTGTGTAGAGAGCTTCATGGAAAGCATCGGATGCAGTGGCGTAAAGCACCATGAGCCAGTTGCTCCATCACCCTCATCCAGGTGCTGGACAGATGCATTCCTCCATCCAAGTTCTTCCTGTGTAGATACAGGTTTGTCAATGGCAGTCAACACTTGCTGCATCCGCCATAAGAGCTCCGCTTCCATACCTGTGGATGGAGGTGAGAAAAACACACTGTTACTGTTCCCCATTGCCGACACTGCAGCTGGGATTTCAGATCTATCGGCTGGCACTTCCCAATAGCATCAGGCAAAGGGAGCCCAGCCCTGCCGCTGAGCAGCGTCTAGCAACTGTCTGTAGGTGATCTCCAGCTCCCATTCCTGAATGGCTAGAAATTCCAAATCTTCCTGTGCCCAGAGCACTTCCAATATTTTCAGCAACTGGTCTCTGTAATCCATGATTTCCTCCAAACACCACTCCATATTGTTCCTGAAGTCCCAAGCTGCCATAGCCTAAGCCTTCCATTGGGCTGTTGTCCACTGTACTAGGGCATCTTGGACTACATACCAGTGTAGGGCTCTGCAGCTCTCATATAGCTGCATCTCTGCCTGGACCAACCTGCTTAACTCAGCAATCCACTCCTTGTGCGGTTTTCCCCCAATAATAGCACCCACACTTCGTAATGCAACCAGTACCTTTCCTGGATGGAGGACAGAATTTTTCCCTGGTGGTGCTGCTCACGGTCTAGTTATTCCTTCCAGAGTTGCCAGCGGACTGAGTCATACTATCCCAGCAAGACCTGCTCTGCACTAGTCCCCTGTGCTGCATCCGCTTCTCTCTCAGCCTCTTTCT